AAAAGATATGTTACCTTCTAAGCCCCCATACCTGTGAACAGGCATGTTTGGAAGTAGAAGCTTTGAAGATGTGGTTAATATGAGGTCATACTGGAGTAAGGAGCCCTGATGGTGCAGTGGTTAAGTGCCTGGCTGCTAACCCCAAGGCTGGTGGTTCGAATCCACCAGCTGCTCCACAGGAGATAGTTGTGGCAGTTGGCTTCTGTAAAGATTGACAGCCTTGGAAACCCTCTGGGCAGTTCCACTCTGTCCTCTAGGGGCGCTGTGAGTCGGAATCAACTCCACAGCAATGAGTTTGGCTCAGGCTTCGCTTCAATATGACGACAGCCTTGGAAATCCTTGTGGGGCAGTTCTACTCTGTCCCATAGGATTGCTATGAGTTGGAAGTGACTCGACAGCAGTGGGTTTGGTCTGTTTTATACTGGAGTACAATGGGTTCTAAGGAGCTATGGTGGTTTGTGCTTAAGGTGTTTGTTGGTGGTTCAAACCCACCAGCTTCTCCAGGGAAGAAAGATGAAGCAGTCTGCTTCTGCGAGGATTTACAGTGAGCTCGGTTTTGGTTTGGCATGTGGAAGGCATAGTCTCAGTGAAGGGGCTAGTAGAGGGGCTTCGGGAGGGAAGGAAGCAAGCCTAGACCATGGCCTCGCACCCCCAGCCTCCCTCTCCAGACACACCTCACCTCTAAGGCGTTTGTCTCATGCCCTGTTGTCTGGCTTAGAGCAGGGCTGTGGAGCTGTGAACACACACTATTACAGGCACTGGTCTGGGGGACCATCCTCCATCACTGCATCCTAACTTGTGAGAGTGCACACCCACCTCCTCTCTCCTATCACATGCACTCTTCACATCCATGGGCCATTGGGATTCACCACAGCCTGGGAAGAACACTAGAGGTGCAATACTAAAATGGTCTAGAATTTTCCCTCGCCTGGGCAATCTATTTCCACAGAGATACAGCCTCGGAAACCCAAGGAGGGGTCGCTATGAATTGGGATCGACTCGATGGCAATGAATTCCCCCCTCCCCCAGCTCTACAGCAAAATGTCTCCCCTTCTTTCTCCCCAAAACAGGGGTGTAGGTTTGGAGAAGCAAGGGTGGAGCTCTTGATAGAGGAGGTGAGGTTGGGACAGAGGATGGATTTGACTGCTAACCAGAAGGCTGGCAGTTCAAACCCACCAGCCACTCCCGGAAGGAAGACCGGGCAATCTACTTCCGTAGAGATACCGCCTCGGAAACCCAAGGAGGGTCGCTATGAGTCGGATCCGATTCCACAGCGGTGAGTCTGGTTTTTGGTTTAATGGGACCCAGTATCATCAAAGAGCAAACGCCCAAGTCTTCTAGGGAAGCCCTGGAATCTTCCAGAAAAGCTCAAGGCAGCAGTAGAACTGATCTCAGCTTCCCACTCTGGTAGATACCCAAGTGGTCTGCAGTCTGAGCAGAGGCTGCTGACCCGTCCGGCCACACCTGGGCCTTGGCCTCCTTGGCTTATCACCCCCTTGCTCACCTGAGGGGGGTCTCGCCCCACCCCCCATAACTCCAGAGTCTCTAGTCCCAGCATTCACTCCTGGAGGGGAGGCTAAACAACAGTGAGGCCCATGGGACTTTGTGGACAGAGCAGGAGGCGGCAGGCATATGAGGAAACTATGGTGGCCAGCCTCAGGGTCTACTCTGGTGGGTGAAAGCAGGCCACAGCTCCCTGAGTGGGATGGGGTGGGAGCATCAGAACTCGGAGGGGAGCAAGAGGATCCAGGAGGTGGTCCTCACCCCCTGAGCAGCCCGCCCTCAGGGGCTGGGGCAGGATGGGGAGCGATGGAGAGGCCACAGGCCCCTGCCTCTTTGGAGAAGAAACGAGAACTGGTCACTTTTCAGCAACCAGCCCCATGTGTGTGCCCTGTCCCAACCCAGGCCGGCAGCACTGGACTTGGCGGGTTTCTGGTGGCCATGGGGCCACATGTGTTCAGTCTGGACTTGGGGTAGCTGCTGGCCGGGTGAAGCATCCTGGTCTCAATCCAATGGAGTACCTGATTATTCCACTGAGCACGCACTGCGGTGTGTAAGAGGTCTTGGGAGGGTGGGGTGCTCACAGTAGGCAGAGGGGGTCAGTTCTGGAAGGATCAGCACGTTCTGGGGGGTTAGCCCTTTCTAGGGGTTCAGCATGTTCTGGGAGCCAGCATATTCTTGGGGGACCAAGTCCTAGAGGACCAGCACGGTCTGAAATGGGGCGATTCTCCTCACATCTTGGTCTCCAAGGCATTCTGGGGGGGGCCTCCTGAGTAGTCCGGGGGGCAGAGGATGAACTGGCTCGCCCCCACCTCACCTTTCCCACCTCTCTCCAGCCGGGGCCAGAAAGGGAGGCTCCGGGCACAGGCGGAAACGCAGAACTTGGTGCCGATCCCGCAGGGGAGACCGTAGATCTGAGAGGCCTCGCAAGTCTCCAGCGACTCCTCCTGCATTTGATTCCACGCCAGGAGCCCGCGCTCCTCCTGACTCCCTGCGAGGAGACAGAAAGCGGGTTGGGCCCGGAAGGAGCAAGCTGGGCGAGCTCTGGTGTCCCCTGCAGGCGCTCGCCAGGACAGCACTGCGCCCCCTGCAGGCGCTCACCAGACCTGCACTATGTCCCCCGCAGGCGCTCGCCAGGACAGCGCCGCGCCCCCTGCAGGCGCTCACCAGACCTGCACTATGTCCCCCGCAGGCGCTCGCCAGGACAGCGCCGCGCCCCCTGCAGGCGCTCACCAGACCTGCACTATGTCCCCCGCAGGCGCTCGCCAGGACAGCGCCGCGCCCACAGCCAACAGCACCTCTGCCTCCTCCCAGCCCAACTCTAGGACCACTCTAGTGCCGCTCATTTCAGGCCCTCGGGGTCCCTGGCACCTCCTGTGTGAATGTGCAGAGGGCACAGCCATGCATGAGCACAGCCCTGTCCCCAACTCCAGGGACAGACAAAAGTCCCACATGGTAACGTTTCTGAATTGGGGATGCATTTCACACTAGGTGGAGAGAAGAAATGGTGAGAAAGGAATGCAGTGAAGCGGATGCTGTTGTGGAGGTCCCGCTGAGCAGGACCAAGAAGGGTGCACCTAACGCTGACTGTGGAGAAGAATGTGGGCTAGGATCGCCTCCTCCAGGAAGCCACCCATGACTGCACCTGCTTGACTCTTCCTTTTGCATCTCCCCCTACACTTGTGTGCACTGTTTGACCATGACAATGCTGCACTGTAATTGCCCACTCTCTTGTCTCACTCCCTAGGGATTTATGGAAGGCGGGAGGGCGTCTTACTTCTGGAGCTCCATGGATTTCTGTTTCAAGTGTGGATGAATAAACGAAGGCGTGTGTGGTGTTGCTCACCGACTAGAGGGCAGGTGTTCAGGGAGCAGGGCTGGGCTTTTTCTTCTTGCTTTCGGGGTTTTTCCCACCACGAGGCCTTTACAACCCCCTCAGACCCAGGGCACACTGACGCATGCTGTGCCCAGCCTGCAATGGCAGGGGGGCCAGGAGAAGCCCTTTGAGCAGCCCAGAGGCCCGCATGCCCCACCTGGGATGGTGTTGTCCAGTACAAAGCCGAGAAATCCGCCGACAAACATGCCCGTGGTCAGCAGCACCTGGATGACCTGGTCCAGCTGGAGAATGCCTGGAGGGAGACAGAAGGACGGGGCTCTTGGGGCCCAGAGGCTTCTTCCCTCAGAGAACAGAGCCTCGGGCTGCGACCCTGGGGCGTAGCCATCGGGGACAGACAGAGCATCACCTGTCTGGAGCCTGTCTGTGTTCTTGTTCACCCAGTTGGGAATGGCGAGCCCACAGTAGATGGAGAAACCGAAGACGAAGAGGTTCCGAGAGGAGTTCATATCCACGAACTGCAGGGAGAGGGGCCGAGAGGCAAGTCCGGCGCTCAGCCCCTGGGCTGCAGACAGGCCTCCGCTCACCACCGCCCCCGGCCGGGGCGGAGCTCCCAGGGTCAGCACCCCACCTGGCCAGGCCGTTTGCCTAACTCGTTCTGGGCTGAGGCAATTTCTGATTTCGGGAGGCTTGATGCTTCTTTCGTCCAGACCGGGGCCAGTGCGGTTTCTGGGACCCGGGATCTCCCACCCCCTCCCCAAATGCCATCCTCTCCGTTCCGCGGGCGTCTTTCAAGAGGTGCGAGGCGTTGCTGCCCTCGAGCGCCGCCCTCACCTGCAGATTGGAAATCCCCACGGCCATGATGATGGCGAACATCACCAGGAACATGCCTCCGATCACAGGGGTCGGGATGGTGGCGAACGCAGCCCCGATCTTCCCGAACACGCCCATCAGGAGGAGCACGCCGCCCGCCGCCACAATCACCATCCGGCTCCCCACCTGCAGCCCCCAGGGGAAAGACAGGCGAAGCTCAACCCGAGGCCTGCTGCGCCCTGCGCCGGCCCTCCACATCTCTCCAGGGAACTTGCAAGAGCAGCGCCCGGGCCCGAAACGCCCTCTGCTGGGTGGTGGGGTTTGGGAAAGGAGGAGGGTGCATGCCTCGCGAGCGTCTGCAGAGGGCGCCAGATCTCGCCCCACACCCCTACCCCCACCCCCGCCGGAAGGACTCAGACTGGGCACTGATGATCGATGCTTAACCCGAACCAGTCGCTGTGGAGGGTGTCAGAATAGAACTGTGCGGGGGGGGGCAGTTCTTTTTCTTTTCTAACTTTTTATTGTGATTTAGATGAATGTTTACAGAGGCCACAGGATTGTCAATGGCTGACTTTTTGGGTGGAGACCAAGGGTTATACCCGGGGTTTAGGTGACAGTTACAACTAGTGAAACAGGGGTGACCCCTGCCCATGAGGCATTCTGTAGCATCCTCAAGAGTCCGGGCGGGCCCCCCAGCGGGTCGGTCCTTATTACCTGCTCATGAACGGACCGAGGTGCCTACTGTCAGTGTGTCTATTTAGTGGCTCTTGACTCAGGCTTCTACTCTCAGCCTGAAAAGGATGCTCTAATGTCAACGGGCCCAAGTCCATAATGCCCGGGGAAGTTGCCCACGCTGCCTTTGCGTTCTCTTGTCTTCCCAGTCTAAGCGTTAATGTATTGAACCATCTTCATTAGAAGTTCCTACCAAGTCAAGGAATGTGTGTTTCGTTTTGTTTGTAGCCCATGAACTGTGGCAACAAGGCCATGAATACAAGCACAACAGATGTATTTACCGGGCTCAACAAACGCACTGTGGATATGCTGATGGGCTCAAATAAAGGCAGCTGTCCTGCCCAGACCCTGGCTGTCTTGCTACCATGTGGACTCATCCTACACCCCGGCCACCTTTGGCCTCAGGCTTGTGGGCTGGAGGCTATAACAGCTGATGGTACGGCCTACACCGTACCTGCGGCCTGATTCCCGCTGAAATGCACAGAGGACAAAGTTTGAACCTAATCAATGCAAAGCAGCAACAAGGGTAAGTGATTGGAAGCAGTACCTCAAAAGACCACAAGAGGGCAGTGCAAGTCCACAAAAGCAAGTGCCTTTTGCACCTGGAGTGCCTTAGCCTGCTCGCGTCTTTTTGTGCTAGTTAAGGTTGTTTTCAGTGTGGCTGGGCAGCTGGATGTAGTTATTCCCCATGATGAGATTGGCCGTCTGTTCCATGGAGGAATCTACCGGAGCAGCTGAGTAGCTGCTTTAGGGATGTGGCCTGCTTCCAGTGTATAAGAAACAGCTTTGAGGACGGTCTCTAGCTTTTTGGCACGCTTGAACCCTGCGCATAGCCAAGTCTTCATTCAGTAGCCTGCCATGCTCTGCTGATCTTGGGACTTTCAATGGACTTGAGTTAATGGCCTGCCGTGTGGTTTATTATTATTGGGACTAGAGCCAGAGGCAGAGCTGAAGCCCAAGGTCAAGGGGCTTTCACCCAGCCCCTGGAGCCTGCCACTTTGAGCTAAGACTTCTAGCCTCCTGAAATGTAAGAGAATACACTCCTGTTTGTTAAAGCATCCCATCTGTGACATATTGTTGTCAGAGCGGCACTAGGGAACCAGAGCTCTGCACCTTTCTTCCTTCCTCCTTTGCTGTCCTCTAAAGGGCCTTGGGTTAAAACGACATGTCAAAGAAATATTCATTGTTTTGTGAATGCAATTTTCTGTGCTGCATGAAATCAAACAACATATTGCACTGGGCAAACCTGCTGAAAAAAAAAAAAAAAACCTCTTTAAAGTGTTAAAGAGCAAACAGGTCACTTTGAAGGCTAAGGTTCACCTGACCCAAGCCAGGGTATTTTCAATTGCCTCGTATGCATGTGAAAGCTGGACAATGAATAAGGAAGACCAAAGAAGAGTCAATGCATTTGAACTATGGTATTGATGAAAACACTGAATACACTAAGGCCTGCTAGAACAACGAACAAATCTGTCTTGAAGGAAGTATAGCCAGAATGCTCCTTAGAAGCGAAGCTGGCGGGACTTCATCTCACTTACTTTGCCCAAGTTGTCAGGAGGAACTGGTCCCTGGAGAAGGACCTCATGCTTGATAGAGTAGAAGGCCAGCAAAATAGAGAAAGACCCTCAACGGGATGGACTGGCACAACTGCTACAACAGTGGCTCAAACACAGCCGTGACTGTGAGGATGGGGCAGGGCCGGGCAGTGTTTCGTTCCGTCGTACACAGGGGTCACTATGATTCAGAACGGACTGCAGCCCAGGAAACCCTCCAGGCATTTCTACTGGGTCACCTGGGGTTGCTGAGTCGGAATGCACTCTATGGCAACCAACAACACCATAACTTCCATAGCCCCTCCTCCAGTGACATCACAAAGGGATAAGGGGGGTGAGGACCACACCGATGAGCCTGTCAGAGGGGGTGACACCAAAATGACGGTCTATAAGAGTTTTATGCATTGTTTCAGTAGAAATGTATTTCTTTTATAAAGAATATCCCTGTAATTACAACAAAAACACCGTTGTGAGCCCAGCTGACATGTACCAATGTATCGACAAGGCTGAAACACTATGCTGATTTACGTTTTGAACTTTCCAACGTGCTCCAATGAGTTGTGGGAAAGCATTAAGGACATCATACATGAAGAAAGCAAAAGGTCATTAAAAAGACAGGAAAGAAGAGAAGACCAAAATGGATGTCAGAAGAGACTCTGAAGCTTGCTCTCTTGAGAGGAGAGTAGCTAAAGTGAATGGAAGAAATCGATGAAGTAAAGAGCTGAACAGAAAATTTCAAAGGGCAGCTGGAGAGGGCAATGTAAACTATTACAATGAAAGGTGCAAAGACCTGGAGCTGGAAAATCAAAGGAGAAGAATATGCTTGGCATTTCTCAAGCTGAAAGAACTGAAGGAAAAAATTCAAGTCTCACGTTGCAATATTGAAGGATTCTACGGACAAAATGTTGAACGATGCTGGAAGCATCAAAAGAAGATGGAAGGGGTACACAGTCACTGTCCCGAAAAGAATTGGTCAATGTTCCAACATTTCAGGAGGTAGCACATGATCAAGAACCAATTGTACTGAAGAAAGAAGTCCAAGCTGCACTGCAGGAACTGGCAAAAATGAGGCTCCAGGATGGCTGGAATACCCATTGAGATGTTTCAACAAATGGATGCAGTACTGGAAGTGCACACTCACCTATGCCAAGAAATTTGGAACCTGTACATAGATCAAGAGGTAGATGTTTGAACAGAACAAGGAGATACTGCATGGTTTAAAACCAGGAAAGGTGAATATTTATTCAATCTGTATGTTGTTGCTGTTGTTAGGTGTCATCAAGTCATCTCCAACTCATAACGAAACACTGCCTGGTCCTGTGCCAGCCTCACGATCCTTGCTATACTTGAGCCCATCACCGCAGTCACTGTGTCTATCCATCTTGTTGAGGGCCTTCCCCATCTTCATTGACCCTCCACTTCATGAAGCATGATATCCCTTTCCAGGGAATGGTTCCATCTGACAACATGACCAAAGTAAGGTGAGACAAAGTGTAGCCATTCTCGCTTCTGAGAAGAATTTGGCTGCACTTCTTTCAGGATAGATTTGTTAGATCTTTTGCCAGTCCATGGTACTTTCAGTATTCTTCACCAACATCACAACTCAAAAGCATCAACTCTTCTTTGGTCTTCCTTATTCATTGCCCAGTTCTCACACGCAGAGGTTGTTGTTGTTGTTGTTGTGTGCCGTCGAGTTGGACCTGACTCATAGCGACCCCTCCTTGGGTTTCCGAGGCAGTATCACTAAAGAAGTAGATTGCCCCATCTTCCTTCCGAGGAGTGGCTGGTGGGTTTGAACAGCCAGCCTTCTGGTTAGCAGTCAAGTGCCTTAGCCACTATGCTACCAAAGCTCCACACACACACAGAGGAAGCGATTGAAAATACCATGGCTTGGTTTAGGCGCACCTTAGGCTTCAAGGATACATCTTTGCTCTTCAGCACTTGAAAGGGGTCCTTTGCAGCAGATGCCTATTGCCATGAGGTGGGCCAACAACAATCCATCTGGATGCTGAGCAAATAATCCAAGGAACTGGACTATACGAAGAAGAATGTGGCATCAGGATTGAGGAAGACTCATTAACAACCAGATATTACAACCTTGCTTGCTGAATGTGAAGATGACTTGAAGCACTAACTGATGAAGATCAAAGACTGCAGCCTTCTGTATGGATTACACCTCAACATAAAGAAAACAAAAATCCTCACAAGTGGACCAATAGGCAACATTATGATACATGGAGAAAATATTGAAGTTGTCAAGGACTTCATTTTACTTGTATCTACAATCAACGCCTATGGAAGCAGCAGTCAAGAAATCAAACAATGTATTGCATTGGGGAAATCTGCTGCAAAGACCTCTTTAAAGTGTTTAAGAGCAAAGATGTCATTTTGAAGACTAAAGTGCACCTGACCAAAGCTTCGGTATCTTCAATAGCCTCAGTGAATGTGAGAACTAGAGAATGAATAAGGAAGGCCACAGAAGAATTGATATGTTCCAATTGTGGTATTGGTGCAGAATCTTGAATGTACCACGGACTGCCGGAAGAACAAACAAACCCGTCTGGGAGGAAGTACAGGCAGAATGATACTTAGAAACAAGAATGGCCAGACTTCATCTCTTTGGTCACACTTTGGTCATGAGGTCAGAAGGGACTGGTCCCTGGAGAAGGATGTCATGCTCAGTAAAGTAGAGGGTCAGCAAAAAAGGGAAAGACCCTCAAAAGATGGGCTGACACAGTGGCTGTGACGATGGGCTCAACACAGTACTGACTGTGAGGATGGTGCGGGACCAGGCAATGTTTTGTCTGTTGTACGTGGGGTCACTATGAGATGGAACTGACTCAATGGCACCTAACAGCCACCACAATGCATTCTGGTCAGAACTGTTATTATCACCCAGTTACAATGATGCTTCCAATCACATGGCTCCATCTGCCGGTGCTACATGCACACACGGTTGGTTTCCTTGCTACCACTGCTTCTGTAGTCGCTGATTTTGTCAGCTTTTCTGGTGTTTTAGCTCCAATATTGTGGTAATTAGCATCTCTGAACCTGGTTCTCTCACCCAAGTCACCTTCTTAACCATTTCCCTCCTAAGTGGTCCTACTTGCTGATTTCAAGCTTTTTTGTCCCTAGTGCTCACATGTTCTCATGGTGGGAGGGGGTGCTGTTCCCTGTCCCTCAGGTCCCCACCTGCAGCCTTACCTGGGTGATGCCCAGCGCCCCCACGTTCTCACTGTAGGAGGTGGTGCCATTCCCCGTCCCCCAGGCTCCCGCCAGCAGACAGCCGAGACCCTCAATGCCGATGCCACGGTTGATGGCGTGCTTGGGGGGAGGCGGGGCCCCCACCAGCCGGGCACAGGCATAGTAGTCGCCAACCGACTCCACCATGGAGGAGATCACGCCAGCGATGATGCCGAAGACCCCCGCCAGGCTGATGGTGGGGACACCCCACTGTCCTGGAAACACAGAGCAGAGGGAGAGTCCTCAGAACAGAGCTGCCAGCCAGACCCTTTCCTGCCAGGGAGGCTCCAGGAGGCTCCCAAAACCAGGCAGGTGACTGGAAGCTCGGCTCTGAATTCCTGGACCCATCCCTCCTAAGTGGGAGCAAGGCGTCCAGGCCCACCGCTCATAGAAGGAGCCAGCGACAGGGCCTCCTCCCAGAAAGCTGAGACTCAGTGAGGTCCTGGCCCTTTCCACTGCGAGGAGATGCCCACCACCCAGGGCCCTTTTACACCGGAGGCCAGACTGTGGCAAAGGAGACCAAAAGGGGCCCAAGGATGCACTTGACCTGGTCATTCTGGAATATTCTATTTCAGTCCTGGGCCTCCCTAGTGTGGGATGCATGACTCCAAGGGGAGACACAAGGGTGGGTCTGGTTGAGAGGCCAGGATTCCTCTATCTCCCTTGCTCCCCATCTTCTGGGCCAGCGTGGGGGTGGGAGGGAGGTGTGGAACCACCCCTGAAGATTCTGAAGACAACCCAAGGGTCCCCTTTTTCTGACATGGACTCCCTAGGGGCTGTCCCTCCCCCACCCCACCCCCATCCAGCTACCCACCCAGTGCCCTAACAGCAGCCTGTGGACAGCTCCCAGGAAATGTGTCCCTGGCAAGGAAGGCCCACCCTGTCAGCACCTGGGTAAGGGATGCGGAACCATGGGGCCTGGTTCAGGACGCCGCCTTTGCTGTCGGTGCGGGCTCCGTACCCGTAGGCCGTGGGGTCCGAGGGGAGGGCGTTGGTGACCGTGAGCACTAAGCAGAAGAGCCAGGAGACACAGAGCGCCAGCAGCACCTGCGAGGGGACCAGGACGCCAGGGAGCCGGGCTTGTGTCACTGTCACCCTCTGCCTCGCCCTCCCAGCTGCTCCGCCTCCTCCCAGCCCGAAAGCTCTTCGAAGGAAGGAAGCCTTGGGTTACTGACCCTTCCAGGGACCACAGGGATCTGGTGTGTCAGTGACAAGAGACTGGAAACAGAAGTCAGAAATAAACTATTGGGAGGCTGTGCCTGCAGGGAGAAGTGCAGAAGGGCAAAGCCCTGGCTCCTTCTGCTGTGTGTCTGCCCCGTGAGCGTGGATCCAGCTCGGAACCTGTGTCCCTATCTACACACTGGAGTCTCACTTGCTGCCTGCAGCCTGCCATGGGGTTCTTAAAGTGGGCGCTCAGATTCTTCATCTCTGGGGTAGAAGCCCAGGAGTCTGTACCTCCAGCCTTGGCCTCACGTGATTCTTAGGCACATGAAACGCTGGTCTTGTTTAAAGACCAATGAGGTCACTATGTGGAAGTATCTTTTCACAATAAAAGTCCAGTTTACAGTTCAGTTCAATCTGAAGTCACGTGTAGGTGAGTGATGCTTACAGATACCTGACAGTGTTGTTGTTGTTGTTATGTTTATTGTTGTTATATTGTTATGTTTCCAAGGTAGTATCACTATGGAAGTAGATAGCTCAACCTTCCTTCCAAGGAGTGGCTGGTGGGTTTGAACCGCCAGCCTTCTGGTTAGCAGTTAAGCGCCTTAGGCACTACGCTACCAGAGCTCCTAAGCAAGAAGGCTCTGGAAATGGGGTACCATCAGTATCACTAAGGTATCTGGATTCTGCCCTCCTACCACCTAGTCACTTAGGAAGGGCCTGGTCTAAGGAATGTGGCCGAGGCTTGTCTCTCTTCAACCTGTGGTTTTATGTAACAGAGAGGAAACTAGCACACTTCCCTCCCACACTGCTATGAGGACAGCCAGGGACTGTGACAAACCTGCCACACACAGGTGCCAGAGCCATGACCAGCAGGGGCTCTGCTCATTGGACCCAAAGAGCTGGACAACGTTACCTAGGGGTCAGGGAGCACTGTCCACTCACTGGGGGTAAGGAGAGCCAGAGGGGCGAAGGCCACCCCTCTCTCCAGGAGAGCTGACCTAACATGGGAGGGGGCCGGGGTGCTGCTCACAGGGAAAACCTGGAACAAGTGGAACCTGGAGGCGTGGTGTTTCTTCCCTCTTCCACACATGGGCATGGGCACAGTGATGTTTTTCAGATACTGAGAAAAAAGCACGATGAGGAAGATGGTCCTGAAACAAAAACAAAGCTGACCTGGCGAGCTGAGGGCTGCCCTGTGCGTGTCGACATGGCTCCAGGACCTCCAGGCAGCTAAGCCAGCAATGGGTCCCTGCGGCCCGACAAACTGAGGGCTGCCCTGCACATGCCCTCCCGTGGCTCCAGGGTCTCCAGGAAGCCGAGCCCGCACAGGTCCCTGTGACCTGAGCCCTCTTTGAAAAGGTGGGCTGTGAGGGTCCAAGAGGGATTGTGGGAAGGGAGGCTATCTAAGAGAAATGTACTGGGACACTGAACAAATGCTGCAGTTACAGCCAACGAGGCCAAGTCAGAGAGCCTATAACCTTCCAGACTATTCCGCAGGCATGATAGTCATCAAACGTCCCCTCAGAGCCCAGGGGTAGAGAAATGAACAAGAGCTCATTGCCACCCCAAGTCCCTTCCGAGCTCAGTTGAAGGCTCAACACCTTCTTCCATGTAGCCTTCCTGAGGCCCCCACTGCCTACCATCATCCTTCCTGGACATACACTGTGATGGTGCTCCCTGTCTCTGATTTCATGACTACTTGCATCCAAGTCTTATCTCCTTCCTAGACTCTGAGCTGCTTAAGAGCAGGAGTCATGTCTTTTCACCCTTCCCTGGTGCCAGAGGTTTCAAAAAATGTGGTCTATGGTGACTAGGAGAAGTAGCATTTTGTGAACACACTAATTATTCTGATACACTACCTGTAAGTACTGATAGGTAATAATAACTATCAGCAACAATAAATCGTAAGCATCAATCAAATCCAGTGCTTTCTAAGGTATGATAATCATGAGAGCATTTGTAAACCACAAAGGTTTGACAATATCCAGGGTTCACATCACTCTACTGGACGACCTTGTGCCAAGGAGAACTTGGAAGGCCCTTCCTCCTGGGGAGTACTCACATGGCGGCTATTCCCCAGTGGATCCCAGCATCATTGCTTGCAGAATCGAAGAGGGGCAGGGCCACCAGGGAGATGGTCGGAGCAATGGTCAAGGGGCCGATGAAACGCATGAGAAAGCCAATGAGTCCTGAGAAGCCCACCAGCATCTGGACGCAGGAGGCCACCATGATGGCACCCTGCAACTGAAGAGGAAGGGGTTCAGGTACCAGCAAGCGGCACCTCAGGCCCCAGCCCAACCCACCATCACCAGCCCAGCCCACACCTACATCTGGTTTCCCCCAGATGCTGTGTTTAGAGACAGTGCAGGGGCAGAGCTAAAGCCCCAAGAAACCAAGAGAAGAGGAGCTGTATCTCATGCCATTCCTCGGTTCTGCATTTCCAGCTGTCTGTATGTTCAACTACTTGTTGGACACTTTCACTTAATGTGAAGCTTTTCAGGAAGTAGACTTCAGACTTACTTATTGATCGCAGTAGTGGTGATGATGACGGAGCATGACTTAGTAGTGTATTGAAGATGCTGCTGCTTTATTTTTCTCCCTTCTACATTCTATTACAGGGGTTGGCAAACTTTGTCCGGAAGGGACCAAATCATAAATATTTTAGGCTGGTGGCCCATATGAGTTCTGGTACAACTTTTCCAGACAATGAGTGAACAAATGAGCGTGGTAGCTATGTTCCAACAAAACTTTATCAATGCTGAAATTTGAATTTCAAGTAATCTTGATGTTTCACAAAATATTTTTCTTCTTTTGATTTTTTTCCCACTTAGCTTATCAAAACAAACAAACAAACAATAAAGAACAAACTCACTGTCACTGAGTCAATTCTGACTCATAGCGACCCCATTGGGTTTCCGGGGCTATAAATCTTTACAGAAGTAGATTGCCCCATCTTCCTTCTGCAGAGCAGCTTGTGGGTTTGAACCGCTGATCTTCTGGTTAGCAACAAAATATCTTATCCACTATGCCACCAGAGCACCTCACTTAGCTCATGGGCTATCCAAAAAAAAAGCACAGGCCAGATGTGGTGGTTAAGTTTGTGTGTCAACTTGGCTAGGCCTAGATGAGTGGCTGAGCAGCTGAATGTAGTTATTCCCCATGGTGAGATTGGTAATTAACTCCATGGCAGAATCTATTGGGGCAACTGAGTAGCTGCTTTGGGTATGTGGTCCGCTTCCCGTATATAAGAAGCAACTTTGGGAAGAGTCTCTAGCTTGTGGCACGCTTGAACTCTGCATGTAGCCATGTCGTTGTTCAGCAGCCTGCCATGCGCTGCCTACCTTGGGACTTTCAATGGACTTGAATTAATGGCCTGCCGTGGGGTTTGGTAACATCGGGACTGTGTCTTTTTACTTGTCAGGCTTGGGCTTGTCAGCCTCAGCAGCCAGCAGCTGAGTGTAGAAAAGCCTCCAGCTTCAGTGGACTGGGAGTAGGAGGCAGAGCTGAAGTCCAAGGTTGAAGGGCTTTCACCCAGCCCCTAGAGCCTGGCCCTTTGAACTCGGACTTAAAGCCTCCAAACTGTGAGAGAATAAACTCCTGTTTCTTCAAGCCATCCCATTTGTGGTAGATCTTGTCAGAGTGGCACTAGGGAACCAGAACACCAGACTTGCCTCATTCACTGTAGTTTGCTAACCCTTGGGCTACAGGATTGATTGAATTTACTTTACTTCCCCTTTTTCACTCTGCTAATTTGGTTTCAGTCCCTAGAGAAGGATATCATGCTTGGTACAGTAAAGGGTCAGAGAAAAAAGGGGAAGACCTTCAATGAGACGGGCTGACACAGTGGCTGTGACAATGTGCTCAGTCATGGCAATCACTTGTCAGGATGGCAGGGCCAGGAAGTATTTCATGCTGTTGTACAGAGGTCGCTATGAGTCAGAACCAACCCAATGACACCTAACAATGACACTTTTGGTTGTTATACATTGTACTTTTATTCTCTTAAAAGTTATCCTTATAATTTTAGCATGAATACTTCACATAACAAAGTCTACAGTTAAATAAAACGTTTAGCCTCCTCCCAAATAGTATGATAACCTTAGAAAACTTTAACTTCTCTCCCCATTCTTCTGCCTTTCATGCTACTGTTGTCAAATATTTAATTTACTTATTTATATTTGCCACTCCCATCAGTCGATATTTTTAATTTTACTCTGGTGGTGTAGTGCCTAAGGCATCTGACTGCTAACCAGGAGGCTGGCGGTTCAAACCCACCAGCCACTCCTCAGAAGAAAGGTTGGGCAATCTACTTCTGTAGGGATACCTCCTTGGAAACCCAAGGAGGGGTCACTATGAGTTGGATCCGACTCGACGGCAGTGAGTTTGGTTTTTCTGGTAAGTTTTCCTACAGTTAATGGTATTTGTTGTTGGTGATGTTAGGGGCTGTGGAGTTGGCTCCAACACTAACAACTGCATGTATAACACTATGAATTGTGCTATTTAATCTATATTTTTATCTTTATTTCTTTGCTCACTGTTGCTTATTTGCTGCCACTCTTTCACTTGAGATTGAAGTTATTTCAGTAAGAACTGTCACTGATAAACTCTCTCAGTCTTTGTTTACCTGTAATTGTCTTATTTTGCCATGCAATCTTGTATGATGGGGATTCTACAGCTGCCTATGGAATTCTAGGATGGTGGTATTTGCTCTTAGCACTTTAAAATTATTATTCCATTGTCTTCTGGCCTCTATTGCTGTTAATAAAAGGGCTTATAAATGTCCAATTGCCATTGCTTTTTTCTCAGTCTGTGTCTTCGTATCTTTCACCTTGGCTCTCTCCATCTTGCGTATTATTGTCTCAGGAATTCCTGTTAGATCCAGGCTGGACTTCTTTTACTTTGCATTTCCTAATTTATTTCAAATTTCCTGTCTTTTAATTTCTTTGTGCTACATTCTGGATTATTCCATTAACTGTATCATGCAGTTCATTAATATGTCTTTAGCTGTGTTTACATGGCTGTTTAACCCATTCAATGCATTTTTAAGTTTCAACGACTATACTTTTTTAAGGCGCTCTGGTGGCACAGTGTCTAAAGCGTTTGACTGCTAACCAGGTTGGCTGTTCAAACCCACCAGCCACTCCATGGAAGGAAGATGGGGCAGTCGACCTCCAGAAAGATTTACCACCTTGGAAACCCAATGGGGGTCCCTATGAGTTGGAATTGGCTCAATGGCAGTGAGTTTGTTTCTGGTTTGGGTTATGCTTTTTTTTTTTTTAATTATTTTCACTTATTTATTTTCTTGCCTGTCTACTTATATATCCACCTGTAGAATATGGTTTGCTATTACTGATAATACAGTATTGTGTATTATTTTAAAAGTTGTATTTTCAAATCTCCCTGTTCTTATTTTATTTTATCTTTTTATGTATTATGGTTTCTATTACTTCTTGACCTCTTTGATTATTCTAGAAACATTTATTTTATATCCCCTTTCAAATTACTATTTCTTGTTATTTCTCTAATTCTCTGTCATAATATATTATTTCCTTGTGCGAAATGATGAAAGTTTTGTTCGTGAACTCTTCTTCTGTGGGATTTTTTTTTTTTTCCCCCTATGGGAGTCTTTTGTGTTCTGAAATGTGGAAATTCCCTTGAAATGTGGAAATTCACCTGAAAAATGATTTCACATCTTCCGCTACAAGCACTTTAGTTAAAGGGCTCAGCTGCTAACCAAAAAGTCAGTGGTGCAAACCCACCAGCCTCTCTGTGGGAGGAAAATGTGGCAGTCTGCTTCCTTAAAGATTTACAGCCTTGGAAACCCTATGAGCAGTTCTATTCTGTCTTAGAGGGTTGCTATGAGTCAGGATCTGCTGCACGACAGTGGGTTTGGGGTTTTGGTTCTGCTACGAACCACAAAACTTTCCTTAATAGGATCACTGTTCAGTGTCTCAGCTTGGGGATCCTTCCACCACACCCACATGTGTTCTTTGGTTGGAGTTTTTGTTTTTCAGGCTAATCTATGTTCCAACACTTCCCCAGCCCCCTGAGCAGAATCAAAAACTTGCTTATTGACTCTGGACTGGTAGGTAGAGTTATTATAGGCCCATTCACTGAGGGGACACCCTCCAGGATCCCATGAAATCATTAAAACCCAAGCTCTAGCCTTTATTCATAAAGTTTTCCCATAATGCATCAGTGTTTCACTGCTATTTATTAGGTTTTCAGCAGCCAATCTTTTCAGAAGTGGATGGCTCCATCCTTCTTCCTAGTCTGTCTTAGTCTAGAAGCTCTGCTTCAATTAACACCCATACAAGTAGCAGTCGAGAAGTCATATATTGTATTGCACTGGCCAAATCTGCTGCAAGGGACCTCTTCAAAGTGCTGAACAGCAAAGATGTCACTTTGAAGATGAAGGTGCCCCTAACCCAAGACGGTATTTTCAATCACCTCGATATGCATGTGAAAACTGGACAATGAATAAGGAAAACCGAAGAAGAGTTGATGCCTTTGAATTGTGGTGTTGGTGAAGAATACAAATCTCTCTTGGAAAAATTCAGCTGGAATCCTCCTTGGAAGTGGCCAGACTTCGTCTCACCTATTTTGGTCATGTGGTAAGAAGGAACAGTTCCCTGAAGAAGGACATCATGTTTGGGAAAGTGGAGGGTCAGCAAAAAAGGGGAGGACCCTCAACAAGATGGATCGACACAGGCTGCAACGATGAGCTCAAGCACAGCAAGGATTGTGAGGGTGACTCAGGGCCAGGCGGTGTTGCGTTCAGTACACGGAGTTACTATGAGTCAGAGCCGACTCAACCTAACAACAACCACATCTGACCTATGGTCCTGATTCCTTACACCACCATCATAACCTCCATCATTCTGGATAACTTTTCCATTGTTGCACCTAAAACCGGGGGATTTCCCTTTATTGTAAGCTCAAGTATGCATTCAAAAACACATGTTATCCAGTACTTTTATATATTGGGAATGTGAGTCAGGTCTGTGTTTGCTCAAACTACCATAATACTAATAGTTGAAGATTAAATGGATCTAGTGTGTTGAAGGGAGCTCTGGTAGCATAGTGGCTAAAAGCACTTGACTGCTAACCAGAATGCTGGCGGTTCAAACCCACCAGCCACTCTTTGGAAGGAAGATAGGGCAATCTACTTCCGTAGTGATGCTGCCTCGGCAACCCAAGGAGGGGTTGCTATGAGTCGGGTCTGATTCGACGGCACAAAACAA